GAGTTTAAGCCACCGAGTCTGGGACTCGAACCGTAGTCAAATACATGGGAGTCCAGCGACATAGCCATTAGGCCAACTGCTGGTCCCTAAATAAAATAATTCTAAAAAAAAAGTTATTGTATTTATTTATTTTAGTTTGACCAGAGAGGGACAGAAAGAGAAAGTGAGAAAGCAAGATGCCCGGTCCGGGACTTGAACCACAGTCGGCCATGTGGGAGTCCTGTGCCCTTAACCACCATGCCACCTGCCCTTCTGTATTTGATTTTGAATAGTTTCCTCTATCTTCTCTTCAATCTTCCAGTAACTGAGCTTTTTGATTCCTCATTTGTTTATTTCATCCATGAGTCAGAGAGACAGGGTGACAGAGGAAAACGGAAATAGACATCACTAACAACGTGTTTTTTTTTTTTTTTGGAGAGGTTTTCACTATAGGGCGCGTGCCCTCACCAGACAGAGAGAGACAGAGACAGAGAGACAGAAAGCGAGAAATCACTCCCAGGGGGGATGGCCACGCCGCAATCCCTTCTCCTCCATTCTCCTCTCGGGATCTTGGGCACGCATGTACACGCACCCGGCGTGAGTTTAAGCCACCGGATCTGGGACTCGAACCATGGGTCGGTTACACGGGAATCCAGCGACATAGTCATTACGCTAACTGCTGGTCCTGCTAACAGGGTCTCGATGCTGTGCTCTGCTCCCGTGGCACCCCCAGGACCACAGCACATGCATGGCCAGCATCCCCAGGGGGGTCTCCACACGTGAGCCTGGCACCTTCTGTCGCGGTCGGTCTCGTGGGGTGTCACGTTCTACCACACTGCCACAGCTGGCTCCCAACGCCTGTGTTATTTTTCTCCTGTGACTGTTTTTTTCTCTTTGAATTTCTTCCTTTCTTTCTTCCACGAGAGAGAGATAAGAGAAAGAGACAGGCATGCCAACAAAGACTGGAGTCCACTCTCAGCCTGGAGCCAGGCAGGGTTGTGAGCGCACATACACATACCCACGTGTGTCTAGGGAGAGCTCGGGGCTCAAACCCAGGACCTCCCCAATGGCCTCTGCATCCTACATGCATTGTACCTCCGCTGTACCATAGCTAGCCTCCTGTAACTCCTTGCAAATCTGTTTTTCTTTTCTTTTTTTTTTTTTGAGAGGTTTTTGCTATAGGGCGCGTGCGCTCACCAGACAGGCAGAGAGAGAGACAGAGAGACAGAAAGCGAGAACTCACCCCGCAGGGGGGATGGTCACGCCACAATCCCTTCTCTTCCCTTCTCCTCTCGGGATCTTGGGCATGCACGCACATGCACCCGGCGTGAGTTTAAGCCACTGGGTCCGGGCTGCGAACCGCGGTCAACTACGTGGGAGTCCAATGACATAGCCATTACACTAACTGCTGGTCCCTGTCTTTATTTTCTTTGGGACCTCAGGGCCAGGTTTGATCAGCAGCTGTGGGACCCACGGTCAACAGAGTTACCACAGGGTGACCAAGGAGAGGCTCTTAGCCAGGCAGACCTGCCGGGGACAGTGTGGTCAGCCGTGGAACACGTGGTCTGCCAGCCGCCATCTTAGCCCTCGGATGCCCCAGCCCTGGCACGGTGCAGGTACCAGGAGGCCATTGGCCTAAGAATCTGGACTTGCCAGCCAGGGCTGGGGCCGAGGTCTCAGCAGTGAGCCCCCTGCCCCTGGCCGCCCCACCTTTCCCATGTGCTCCAGCCCTGCCCACGGGTCCCAGCCCCTTCCTCTGACGTGGCTTTGTGCCATCCGTCTCCGGCCCCCCATTCCCGTGGCCCCGCAGAGAGGAGGGTCTGGAGCCGGCCGCCTGCGAACTTGAGACGCTCAGCTTAGCGGAGCTCCGTGTTTTGTCTTCCCGCTCTGGGACAGCAGCTGGAGACTGGGTTTGCCTCTCCCAGGGCGTCCCCTCCCAGATGTCCAGGGGGGGGCGTCACCACTTCCTGGCCTCTGCTCACTGAACTCCGCTTTGTCCTGGCCGCCCAGAGCGAGGGGAGTGACCCCTTTGACCCCGCATCGCCTTGGCCGTCAGGGGATCATCCCGAGACCCTGGGAGCCGAGGGGTCTGGCCCTGCGGGGGGCCACCCACCACCTGCTGCCCTCCTGGGCCTGGGCAGGAGGCTTTGCTATGGCCACCCACTGGCTCGCTTAGGCCACGCCCATCTGGTAGGTAGGAAGGGACTGGGTCTGGGTCTTGAACCGTGGTCAGCCGTGTGAGAGTCCAGCACCTTAACCACCACACCACCTGCTGGCCCCAGTCTAATCTAATTTTTTGAACGTGTATGATTCAAAGAAACAAAAAGTGTCTCCGCCTGTGTTTAGCTAAGTCTGGTGTCCAGGTCTGCCCTCTGCCCCGGCTCCCCTTCCCCACAGGCTCTGTGATTACCGTCTGGGTTCCCCTGGCTCACTCCTTCTGCAGGTGCGTGCACACACGTGGGTGTGTACACGTGCGTGGGTATGCGTGCATTTCTCCCGTCCTTACCCGAAGGGTAACACGCACCGTGCGCTGTCTCCATTTGCCACCTGCCATCCTGTTCCATTCCCGAGGACCCCCCAGGTCAGCATCGGGGGGAGCGCTGACCACACTCGGGGTCTGAAGCCCAAGAGGGCCTGGTATGGAGCGCAGGGGCAGGCTGACGGGTGGTCCTGACCTTGGGCACCCTGGCTGTGGGGGCCAGCCCTCCTGTACATTGTCAGAGACAGAAATAACACACAACCTCCTCGTGCTGAAATGACTGGAACGGGCTGACCTCCATGGTGGTTAAGCACGGTGTGGAGGAAGCTGGATTCCACATGACTAACCAGGGTTTGAGTCTGTGCCCACGTGGTGGCATAGTGAATGGGTGGGAGAAAGAATCGTGGTGTGACCAGGACACCTTGGGGGGTACTTTCTCTCTCCTCTGTCTGTCTATCTCTATTTTTTTTGAATTATTTAATTTTATTTATTCATTTATTTATTTTCATTTGATCAGAGAAAGACAGACACACAGAGAGAAGGAAAGTGAGAAAGCAAGCCACTAGGTCCGGGACTCGAACTGTGGTCAGCCCTGCAGGAGTGTCCAGCACCTTAACCTTCACGCCACTTGCTGGCCCCGTGTGTGTGTTTTATAGCATAATAAATGAAAAATGTTTGCAAGAATTCAGTCTCGGGACCAGCAGTTAGCGTAATGGCTATGTCGCTGAACTCCCATGTAGTCGACTGTGGTTTGAGTCACCGACCCGGTGGCTTAAACTCCCACCGGGTGCATGTGCGTGCGTGCCCAAGATCCCGAGGGGAGAATGGAGGAGAAGGGATTGTGGCGTGGCCATCCCCCCTGGGGAGTGATTTCTCGCTTACTATCTCTGTCTCTCTCTGTCTGTCTGGCGAGCGCATGTGCCCTATAGCAAAAACCACTCCAAAAAAAAAAAGGATTCAGTTTGAGAAATGATGGTGGGCCTTTGAGAGCAGACGGAGGGTGTAGGAAGGACGTGACAGAGCTGGCTGGGGCCGGGCAGACGCCTCTGTTACCTGGCTGTCTAGGCTGAGCTCCACGATGGTGGCCACTCCTGGCCCTGCTCCCCGGAGCCCTGAGATGCTGCGTCCACCCTCGGCAGGATGGACGTCTGAGGCCCTGACTCTCCTTCAGTACCAGCTGGGGTGTAGCCAGACTCGGCCAGCCCGCAGCCCATCCGGAGTGGAGACCCCCAGAACCATTGGGTGTACCCACAGGAGGCCCAGCTGGGCTCTCAAGGCCTGGGGACTCTTATTCTCCTTGTCTGATGGCACCGGGCAGTGGTGAGGGGCAAAGGCAGAGAGGACAGAGTGCCGAGGTCTGGCCTCCCAGGCAGGACTCCCAGGGGAGGGCTGGTGTCTCGGGCGTAGTCAGTCCCAAAGCCTCAGATGCAGCAAACGTGGCCTCTTTACCTGGACACCCCAAAACCAGGGCTTGAGCCAGTTCCGTTTTGGGAGTGGTGGCACCCTGCCCTAGACTGCTCTGCGCTGTGGTGTTGGGATAAATGTTCATTCCAGACGTCGCCCCACCTGTCCACCCTGGGACCGCATGCCTGCAGAGGCCAGGAGCCCTTGACACCATTGGACACCGTTGTGCCTCGTGTTGGGCCGATTCTTTTTTTTTTTTTTGTGGG